GGAGCTCTATAAATAGAACACTTAGAGCTAGTTTGCAAACCCTGTTCAAATCACACAGCAAAACAGCACTTCAATATCTTTACATTTATGTAATGCACCTTCAATATGTTTAATTCAAGTCCTGCACTTATTATTCTTACTTTCCAGCACTTTACTTTGAAGTCCTGCACTTTCAATACCGCTTTCCTTTCCACTAGCCATAGTTCAGTCCGAAAGTCCTTTTTCAAGGCAAAAAGAACCGTTGAAGGTGGTAATTCCAGTCCTTCATTCAATCGCCTGATCCCTGCAATTTTCTACTGGATAGTTGTTCGGATACTCACTTTGGAACGACAGCAGTTCCTGGCACGCCTGACATCCACTCCTACTTTCCACTCACCTGGAAAGCGGGACTAGCGTTTTTTCGCGAGCTGAACACTTCTTTCTTCCCTTCTTCAACCTTTCTTCTTCGCCTCTGAACTTTCTTTCGACCGCCCTTCTTCACTTCTTCTTCTTCGCCTCAGACAGCCTCAGACCCTCATATGAATGTCAAATTTATGTAAATGTAAAGTGTAAAGGGATATTACAATATACGGTATCATATAATATAATAATACTTAAAGATTTTATACGCTATACCATATCAGTCAAATATTTTTCCCTCCAACTTTTTAACTGACGTGGCCATTTCTGGGCCATTTATTCCAAAATGGAGGAAATGGCCTACTATGCTACTAGAGGTGATTTTGCACGGGCGTCTTAGGGGTGCCACTTGGGTGGGCTCTCAACCTGAGTGAATTCGGGTTGGTCTCGGTTTAGGTCCAATGGTTGATATCACACACCCAAATCACTACCGTATTGAAGAGATGAACCCTAGCCTTTCATCACCAACAAGTGTTCATCGAGCCCTAGTCTGTTGCGGTCCCTCTCCCGGAGGCTTCGCTTGCGTGATTCGCACTTCCTTCAATCAATTTCCATTTCTGATTTTCAACTTTAACAGACTGCAACTTTCTTCAAATTATTTAATTCTTGAATGAACCGCTGAAAAGTTTTGATCTGCATCAAATATCATTTTCTGAAGCGTTGGAGTTTTAATCACTCATATACCATACAAGGTTCTCTTTCCTTTCAATGTTCTTTATATATATCTGATTTTTTACATATGAATTTGTCATTATTATTGCCTGAACTTCTCATGGATTTTTAGTGGGTATACGAATTTATTACCTTAACTTCTCTTTGCTGAACTTTATATTGTCTGAAGTTTATATTTCCTTCCCATATACTATCGCCTGAACTTCTCTTTGCTTTTAATTTTTATATACAAATTTTCTGTATCTGATTATTTTAGCTTGACCGGCCTCTCTCATTTCTCAATCATACAACTTTTTGTGCTTGTGGGTGAATTTTATCTTGCTAATTTGTTTATTTCCACTCTCAATAATATAGATTAAACCAACCTAATGGACAAAAATTAGTATAATCATGCTAGCTGGATAGCAAACATTTCGTTTACAGAAATGTTTTTGTTGTCCCTAGTCCAGGCTGCAATCCTTCCTAACTTGATTGGTCTCCTATTGCTGTCCATTCAGATCTGCCCAACACGTGGAACCAATGATAAATCACATGTGGCAGTAGATACTCCTATATGTGATTTATCATTTTTTTTTTTTGATTTGTCTTAACCTCTAAGTAATTGAACTAGATTCTGATTATAGAATATATATATATATATATATATATATATATATAGATATCTTTGTTCTCTGCTTTCTTCATTGATAATTTTTTTCTGCTTATGTTTGTAATAAGCTACATTTGGCCTTATTATGATGTGACAAAGAAGAGAGGAGGAATATTTTAGCCTTTTCTTTCTTTGTTTCTTTTTCTTTTTTCTTCATGTGCAGTGTGCACCAAGTGTTCTGCTTATGTGCATCCTACATAAATTGACAATCTGAGTTCTAATCACATCCATTGTAGTTTCTAGTTTTCTGGAAATTCTTTACCAATCAATTGCAGCGAAATAGCCCCGGCAAGTAGCAAATTTACTATATAAACTGAAACATTTGTAGCCAATTTAGATGTCAAATCTTAGATTTTGGTTTAGTAGTACTTCAACCAAAACAGAAACTGGGGTTTACTTATTTGTGTTTGTTAAGCAATCACAATGACCGTGTACTACTAATAATTTTCTTAAGTACATTTTAGGTGTCATTTTTACAGTTTAGATTCTAACCTTTCTCTACAAATCATTGGAAAGGTGAAGGGTACGATGGAGAGGCTAATTACGGATGTCAATTCCTACCGCCCCGCTAGGGCCCCGCCCCGTCCCGCTCCGTTAATAACGGATATGGGAACACTTTGTATACCATTAGGGTGGGCATGAATACAAATTTTGTACCCGTTGCGGTTCACGGGGCGGGTAAGAGTTCAGTATACATATCTTAGGAGCCCCGCCCCGCTCCGACCCGCTAAGTATATAACTATATTTAATATATATATATATATATATATATATATAATATTAATAACTTATTTTAGCGGCTTACCCAGTTACCCATCTCTTACAATTCTAATTTGGGATGTAAACGTGGTATTAAATTTGCTTTTGTTTTGGTTATGGTGGAAGTTGGAGTTTAGAATTTCTTATGATTTGGTTGTATTAAACTTTTATTTTTGTTTATTATGTTCTCTAAATTATGTTATGTGCTGTTATTTTTTTTAAATTTTTGTTGGGATACATAATTTCATTTATGTTGTGTCATTCCTAGGCTTTCCACATTTAAATAGAGGAGCTTAAGTTTCAAAAAGTGAGAGAAAAAAATTTGTTAGCGGGGCGGGCACGGGTGCATAGTATTTTCCAATGGGGCGGCTAGACATGAAAATCCAATCCGTCGCGAGTCTCGGGGCGGGCATGGACTTGACAAAAATTAAAAGGAGCGGGGCTGGATTTAGGGAAACCCACTCCAAACCCACCCCGTTGCTATCCCTAAGGCTAATGAACATCCAAACTTGTAGGGCAATTTTTTGCGCCGTCCATGTTGCTCCACGTCACCTACTCCCAGGGGCGGAGCTAGAGGGGGGCCAGTAGGGGCCACCCCCAAAATTTTTGGAATTTTTTTTTTCATATATGGAAAATTTTATAATTACCTCTTAATAGTTAATTAATTTGTAAATTTTGCCTCTAAATCTATTAAAATTTTTAATTGGCCCCCCCAATATTTTTAAGAGATATATTGACCAGTCTATTTTTTTGAAAATTCTATTAATAGCCCTATATATTAATTAATTTGTAGATTTTGTCCCTAAAATTAATTAAAAATTTCAATTGGCCCCCCAATCTTTTTCAAAAGACATATATTGACCCAAAATAAAGAGTTTGAAAATAAATTTAATTTGTCTCTTTGAAATTTAAATATTTTTCAACTTGCACTATTTTAACTATACTTTTAAATATTATGAAAAAAAAAAATTTAAGCTCATTATTATTATAGTCATTTTTTTTTTTTTTTTGATAAATAATTATTATAGTTCAACATCTCATGTTTGGTAAAAATGGATGAAGCATTTTTTGTGAAACATTTTTGTAAAATGGTATTTAGAAGAAAATACCTAAAATCATATAACAATCTTTATTAGCAAGTCCTAGGAATATTTGGAAAGAAGATAAACTAAAGTATTGTGAGACTTCTCATAATAATAATAATACTATATACTTTTAATTATTACTTTCTAAATAACAAATTTTATTACTATTTGTATCTTGTTTAATAACTCAATAATAATTTTGTTCAAATTTATTTATTTTTTGTTAAAAATTGAGTTAAAATTCATTATGTTGTTGAATTGTGGAATATATACTTAATTTTCTCCTTCCAAAAATTAGATTTTTGAAAAATTAAAACAATTGATAAAGGAAATTTGATTTTCTAACAATGCTTATATTTCTTTACATTTCTTCTCCATAAGTTTCTTCTAACATCATATATATATTTTTTATTTATTATTTTTTTTTTTTCAAGTTGTATTTTTTTTCATTTTTTAATTTTCTCAAGATATATCTACTATCATCAATATTTAAAAATAAATTATACGGTTAAATGCCAAAAAAACCCCCTTGAACTATTGGCATATCAGCAATTAACCCCCTGAATTACAAAAGTTGCAACTTGGACTATTCAATTTTGTTGCAGATGACTCCATTTAGCAGGATTCCGGCAGGTTTTTGACTGACAAATGGTATGTGCCATCACGTGATGCGGATGTTTAAAATAAAGGACCAGAATGCCCTTGCTACCATTATAACCAAACATTTGCGCCTAGAAATGGGTTATAAACGGACTGCCAAACACACCCTTCATCTCCATCAAACTTGTCCCCTACAGCAACAATGATCAAACCCAGCACTGATCATAGCCGAGCTCTCTGCTCGCCAAACCTAACCATCATTATCAGTTCAGTTCACCATTCCAAGTACTGCTGCAAGCACTGTCGATTCAATTCTAAACTCGCCGGCAGTTCCTCTCACCGCCGAGCTCGGTACTGAAATTCCCACCAAAACTATCAGCTGTCCCCAGCATACACCTCAAAACCTATGAACCATAGGACGAATTCTGACAACAATTTTGAATTTCCTTCAAAACCATCTAATAATTTGATCATACAAACAAAACTCATTAATCAAATACTATAATTGAATGGAGTTTTTTTATTTTTTTTTTGGTACCCAACCAGTATTGCAACCCAATCACAGAACCCAATCGCCGCCATTTTATCGCCACCAGTGAAGTTCCGCCCTTGCACCGATCAGAATCACTTCTCGCCGCTGCTGCCCACTACTTCACGACCATGTTCATTCGATGCCAGTGGGTTCCTTCCTTGCCGCTTTCGGAATCGCGATCGCGAGCCGCCGTTGTCCTTGCACTGCGTGTTCGTCGGATCTGTAACAAATACAGCACCACCACCATCGCCGTCGCCACAACACCACCAATAGAAACTCAGAGAATTGATGTTGAACCAAATTGTTAAACCCAATTGAACCACAAACCCACTCCGCCGCCACCATCACCACCATCGGTTGCGCAAAGCCCTAATCGCGGACACCTTGCAAAGCCCTTATTGAACTCAACGCCACCACCATCATCGATTCGGCTTGTCTGCAGATTCTAATTGAAACCAAACAACACCACCATCGGTTGCGCAACCAAACTCAGTAACGAAAAATGCTAGCCGGATTCAATGGAGATGCATAAACAATTGTGAAACCAAATTGAACCATAAACCCACTCCGCCACCACTATCACCACCATCAAAGACACCTTGCAGAGCCCTAATCGAACCCAACACCACCACCACTGTCACCGACACATATATTTAACAGACACATATGTATCTATATATACACTTATAGACATATATATATATATTGAAAATGATTTCTTTGAATTCGAATAAAAACCCCAAATAATCGATCTCAGGAGGCTAAAGTCAAAAAATTTGGACTTCGAATCGAATTCCGAGTTGAGATTCAACGATCGCAGGCCATCGTTGAAGATCGATTTGCCACCGGTGAAGAAATTTGAGGTTTTGGAATTCGCTGAGTTGACTCAGCCATCGAGAGTTGTGTCTATAAAGAAACCTTTGAATACAGAGGAGAGGTTGCATTACAGAGGTGTCCGACGAAGGCTGTGGGGCAAGTTCGCAACGGAGATCCGATATCTGAATCGTCGCGGCTCGAGGGTTTGGCCTGGGACATTTGACACCGCCATTGGCTTATGACCGAGCTGCATTCAAGATCCGTGGAAGTAAGGTTATTGTCAACTTTGCACTCGAGGTCGGAAGTCGTATGACACAACTGTTGCCGTGGAAGGCGGCCGGAAAAGACAGAGAGACTTAGAAGCTGAGGTGGAGCAGAAGCCGTTGAAAAAGGAAGGATTATAAGAAACTGCGTCGTTTTATTGGAAGGGCAGTTTCGTCATTCTTCATTTCGGTGGCCTGAGTGGGCAAATTGCAATAAATTCATAGTATATTGGGGTTTCTTGTAATTCAGGGGGGTTAGTTGCAAAACCCCTATAGTTCAGGGGTTTTTTTTTTTTTTTTTTTTTTTTTTTTTTTTTTTTTTTTAACACAATTCAAATCCGACCCCCAATCTTAAATTCCTAGCTTCGCCCCTGGCAGGGGCGGAGCTAGAGGGGGGCAGCAGGCCCCTAAATATTAATTAATTTGTTGATTTTGTCCCTAAAATTAATTAAAAATTTCAAGTGGCCCCCCAATCTTTTTTTTCAAAAGACATATTGACTCAAAATAAAGAGTTTGAAAATAAATTTAATTTGTGTTTCTTTCAAATTTAAATATTTTTCAACTTGCACTATTTTAACTATACTTTTAAAAGCTTAAATAATATGAAAAAAAAAAAAAAATTTAAGCTCATTATTATTATAGTCATTTTTTTTAGTAAATAATTATTATAGTTGTTATCTTATGTTTGGTAAAAATGGATGAAGCATTTTTTGTGAAACATTTTCGTAAAATGGCATTTAGAAGAAAAATACCTAAAATCATATAACAATTTTTATTGGCAAGTCCTAGGAACATTTGGAAAGAAGATAAACTAAAGTATTGTGAGACTTTTAATAAAAATAATAATATCATCTATATACTTTTTTAGTTATTATTTTCTAAATAACAAATTTTATAACTATTTGTATCTTGTTTAATAACTTAATAATAATCTTATTGAATTTTTTTTTTTTTTTTGTTAAAAATTGAGTTAAAATTCATTGTGCTGTTAAATTTGGAATATATCTACTTAATTTTCTTCTTCCGAAAATTAGATTTTTGAAAAATTAAAACAATTGATAAAGAAAATTTGATTTTCTAACAATACTTATTTCTTTATATTTCTTCTCTATAATTTTCTTCTAACATCAATATATATATATTTGTCCAAGTTTATTTTTTTCATTTTTGAATTTTCTCAAGATATATATACTATGACCAGTATTTAAAAATAAGTTATATTACAATTGATTTCCCCCCCCCCCCCCCCCCCAAACCTTAAATTCTTGGCTCCACCCCTGCCTACTCCATTACTAATCCAAACTGTGTCATTTTTCATTGTATAACCATTACCCTGAAGCTTCCCTTACAGTGTCAAACAAAAATGCTGTTGAGAAGATCAAAAGCAGACAACAATGTGTTCCGTATGCTCGTGGGTTGCCCTCTCTCTCATGATTATGATCACATCATTTCTTATTCAAAGGTACTCAATTTTCAATATCGGTGTGTTTTCATACATTTCCGTTTGTGGGTGTTGTTCATTTTGTTGCTCTGTGGGATTATATCATTTGGGTTTCCTTCAATTTAGCAATTCTCTTCTGGCTTACATGGTAAAATGTGTGATTCTCAATCATTCTCAATATTCCATTTTTTCTTGGGGAAGAGCTCTGATCCATTTACAGTTTATAAACCCATGCATCATCATTATTACACTTCAACCCTAATTTTTATTAAAAAATTATAGGGGTGCAACTATCCTCTATAATAAATTAATTATTCATGCTTCCGCCCATGAGTACCAGAGGTAGGGACAAGAATTCTTCGTAATTTTAATTCATGAATTGACATACTATTTGAAACGATATGTTTTAACGTTTGAAAGGACTTACCATTGTGGCATGCTTTAATTTCTTTTAAATAAGGAAAGGAAACATACCTAAACTGAATGTCGAAATTTATATGATTCGTCTGGCTAATATTTCCGATTTTTTGTTGCAGCTTGCAAGTCTAAAGTCTAAACAGATCTGAATAGTTATTTGAAATTTGATAGTTAACTTAATCAGTTGCGCCATTAGGAATTTATCTCTATTTTTTCTCGTAATTTATAGAATCCATGCCAGATTGAACTGTTTTTCGAATTATTTTTTGTTTTAAGATTTTTTTGTCTTCATAAATTGTGGGTGTAGTATTAAAAATATTATCATTCATAATTCATTAATAGCATATCATAATGGGCAAATTACAATGACCTCCCCTGAGGTTTGGACTAATTGCAACTAAATTTGAGGTTTGCCATTTTGTTGCAAAGACCCCCCAATTTCAGATTTTACAGTAAATTTACATATCTACCCTCATTATTATATTATTAAAAAATTAAAATACCGAGAAATAACAAATGACCTTTTTACCCAATAACATTTATCCTCTTCTTCTCTCTCGTCTCCACCAATTACTCCACCCAGGCCACTTCTACCATCCACCATCACCACACCCAGTGCCACCATCACCACCAAAGTGGGTTTGTATAGCAAGTGACATACGGGTTATATGCGTGTGTATATATATATATATACCACCACCACCAAGCACCATCACTTCACCACCCCCACCAAGCACCATCACTTCACCACCCCCACCAAGCACCATCACTTCACCACCCCTACCAAGCACCATCTTCTTCAAAACTGAAACCCATCTCCAATATTCAATCTCAAGCCTATCTCCTCAGCCGGCGGTTCCGTATTGTACAACAATGCTTTGAATGTAAACATCTAAATTAGACCGAATTGAAGGCAAGCTAATCGGCCAAGGGCAAGGTTTAGATGCTTTATTGATTCCAGCGAAACAAAGAAAAAAATAGAGCTCAACCCAAACCGTGACGAAGAAGATCATGCTGAAACTCCATTGATTCAGGCGAACTCGAGTGACGAAGAAGGAATCTGAATGAATCGGTGATGGTGGTGGTGGTGGTGTTGGGTTTGATTAGGGCTCTGCAATCAGTGTCGTGATTGTTGTAGTATTGGGTTTCGATTACAATCGGTGATGGCGGTGATGGATCGACGAGGGCTCTGTAACCGTGCCACCACAAATTCCTCAAGCCGGTGGTGCAACAGTGGTGATGGACCGGCGAGGATGAGGATGGGCTCGGCTGCGGTGGCTCAGATATATGTTTCGGCCGTAATGGACGGTGGGCGGTGGTGACAAATTCACGGCGAGTAAAGATCTGGGCACGGTGATGGCTGCCGTGACTGGTTCGGAAGCTCAGCGGCGATCACGGATTGCCGTGATTGGTTTGGAAGCTCAGCGGCGGTGGCGGACTGCCGTGACTGGTTCGGATCGGACTGGTCTGATCTTTATATATATATATATATGTATGTATGTATGTATGTATGAATTTTCAACCATATATGTATTATGTGTGTGTGTGTGTGTGTGAATTTTGTACACAAAACACATTATTTTATTTTGGTGTTGCAAATGGATTTAGCAGTGCTGCAGAAGTGATGGTGGCGATGAAGAAGTGGAGGTGGGTTCGGAGAGAGACACAATGGTGACTAAGTGGTTTAAGGGTAGTTTGGTCCACTTCACATGAATTTTATTGTCATTTGTTTCCATTACAAGGGTAATAAAGTCTTTTTACGTTGTTGATGGGCATTTTAGTCAATTCAAACTAATTTTTTGATAAAAAATATTTTTTTTTGTACAGAGGAGAGGTCATTGCAAAATGAGGAAAACTTCAGGGGGTCACATTGCAACAAAATGACAAACCTCAGGTTTAGTTGCAATTAGTCCAAACCTCAGGGGAGGTCATTGTAGTTTGTCCTATCATAATTCATTTTTTTGAACTTTATGCATTCAAAGTAGTATGTTTAGATGCATAGAGAGAAGATGTAATTACAATCTTACAATCAATATAAATCTCACACCATGACTCCCAACAGGGGAGAGGAATTTATTTATAAAGTGGATAGGATGTTTATACACTAAAAAAATTCTTAATTGGTATTTTTCTATGAATTTTATGTAAAGTCATCTCCTCTTTTAGGTTTTTTATGATCCCTTGAATGATTGATTAAGTTAATGCAGCAAGGAGAGTGATGTTTATTAGGGACCTAGGTGATGAATATATCTCCCACTTAGCAGCAGATTCATTTAAACTGATTGATAACTCAGTTTTGCGTTATCATCATCCACCATGTTCAAGGAACTTTCCACCACTTTATTAGCTCTTCTCATCGAATATCCAATGGCCCTATAGTTTTATAGGATTTCAATTGTAATACATAGAAAATGGCATGCTTGATTAAGTGATGTGTGTAATCTGTGTATATATATATTTGGGACCCGGCCAGCCTGGAAATATTCGGGTTAGGGTGTTACTAGGCAGAGCCCAAATTTGGATAACCTCAGCCTGGCCCGACCCGATTTCGGATTGAGGTCGGATTGTTACCGGGCCTGGGTTGGGCCTGCCCAACTTGCACCCAAAAACTACATGTTGCAATTTACAACTAGGCCCAGTTGAATTTATTGAGGGCTTAAGGTGAATTGTTTTGGAGATGTGGCGCGTAATTGTGAACTGTGGTTTTTTTTCAGAGATAGTCTGTGTATAAACTAGAGCTTATACCATGTGAAATTTTGAAGCTAAAAAGACTTTTTGGAGTCTTGGAGACCAAAGTATCTCATTTTATAACATACATTATGAGTACTTGTATGATGAAGATATATTTTGATTCTAGGTTTTCTTGAGAATAAGTTGAGGTGTCTGTGATGATCTCACCTCCCCAAGGGCGTGACATGTAGAACTCTGGATTTCACAGTCTCAACGATGCTTCTCTGAATGGAATGAATATCATAGTAGCAGCAAAGACTATCTTGATAATCAAAGCTCTTAAGGATTTCTCCCTTAAGGAGGAATTACCCCACTCAAATCTGCATATAATATTTTGAGGGCCAGTGGTAACAGCATTTGAAAAATAGATGGGCGAGAAATTTTTACATAGTCTTGGTCAATCACATCCCGTAAATCTTGAACTTGAGAGCAAACCTGAATTAATGCTTTAATGAGCTTCTTTGTGCTGTCAATGATCTAGCAGTTCATGTATCATACTAAAATTTGTGGACTGCTATTAATTTGGTTGATGTTTGATTATCTTGTATGCTTGAAAATTCTATTGCTTTGAGATACAAATTTGGGTGTTCAATGGAGTCTATTTCTCTCTTTTTTTGCAGCATGGAAAAGTGATGTGATGAAAGCAATGACGGAGTCGGGAAATAATTTGAGAGGGGACGACCTTTGAACTGATAAAAAAAAAAAAAAAAAAAGAGGGTAAAAGTGCAAAAAAACCCTCCTGAATTATTGCCCTTTTCAAATAATCCATCACAAAATATTATTTTACCCTTTCTTATTATATTTTCTCTTATGAAAAAATTATTTGTACCATTTACCTTAATTTTATAATTATTATCAATTATCATAAAAATGGAAAATAAGAAATAGATTGGTAGCTACCATTTTCTAAAATTATTAACTTTTTTATAATAAAACTTATTATACTCACTTTAAAAAAAAAAGTGTAAAAACATACCCTTTTTTTTTTCATACAATATTCATGCCAAATGAATAAATTACGAAAATAAAAAATATCTTCTATTTTATGTAATATATTAATAAATTACATAAATAAAAAAATATCTTCTTTGTTATGCAATATATTCATTCAAAATTAAGAAATTACTTAAATTATTTCCAAATTTTCTACTTATTTAAAGGAGAATATTTCATCAAATTAGTATGAATTTTTTTTATAATTTAATGGATCATGTGTAATTCAATAAAAAAAAGGGTATGGTCATTTAATGAAAAATAGTCAAGACAATGGAGCTTTTTGCAACTAAATGTGATAATTCAGGGGGTTTTATGCACAAAAAATACTTCAGGGCGTATTTTGCAAATTTGGACATAGTTGAGGAATATTTTAACTCAATAGACATTTTCATTTAAAAATATTCATACTCCATTTCAAATTATTTTTTCGGTTAGTACTAAGAATTTTTGTTGTTGGACAAGATGATAATTGAAAACAATCTTAGAAAAATTGTGGTCAACACATATCTAAGATGCTACCTTAATCTCTTCGACACATGTATAGTTAGGTTTGTATGGCTATCATAAAATTTCATTGACCTTTCTTCTTAGGGTACGTTGCTTTCTCCTCACAAATATAGGACATTCAAAATAATATATCTAAGATGCTACCTTAATCTCTTCCACACATGTATGCTTGGGTTTGTATAGGTATCGTAAAATTTGATTCACCTTTCTTCTAGGGGTACATTGTTTTCTCCTCACAAATATAGGACATTCAAAATAATTTACGTCAATTAATCTTAACTTTTCAATAATAAGTTAGTTTTAAGCTCGACGTAACTGCAATTTTTTTTTTTTAAGATTGAATTCTCTATTCAATTTCTTTGTGTGCATCAATAGCAATCTCGCATTTGAGAAGGCATGCATATTGAGAACTCGGACAAGAAAAGAGAGACGAAATCATCTCTGTTTTAAAAAATCGTTTGTACAATTTATATAAGGAGTGAAATAAATTGTAGAGAGGGGAAAAGGTTAAAAGATTAGTGGAGGTAATATTACAGATTTTAAAAACATTATATAAAAAATATATACAATTATTTTAGAATGGAGGAAGTATGTATATTTCCTTTCTTTTCTTCTACTTAATGATGACAAAAATAAAAAAATAAAAAAAATTATAATAAAAGCAAATTGAAGAAATTAACCAAAAATAGAAAATTGTATGATTGTTATTAAAGAATAGATTAGTCTTGTGCCTCTTGCCCCCACAATAGGTATTGAGCTTATGGACTATCTCTTAACAGTTATTTTATAGCATATGTAAACGTGATCCTCTCTTTCTCTCTCTCTAAAAACTCTCTTTGAATAATTTCTCTCTCTAGACTACTTTTTGGCCACTGTGTAACCTTTTTTTTTATTTTTTATAAGCACACACACGTCTGCACTGAGGTTCAAACCCTGATCTTTTTATGGGAAGTAGGGACCTGGTATTGCTAGGCCACTAGCCTATTGGTGCCATCATGTAACTCTTTCATGTACTTGATTGGCGTTTTCGATGCCATATGCTTTTGCTAAGTTATTTTGGTTAAGTTTTGAAAAATTATTTTTGTCCGTAAAAGATTTTTTTTGAATTTGGGACTACCAAATACCAAAAAATACATAAAATATTTTATGCTTAAACAAACGGAGACGAAATGGCAATTCTAATCCTGACTTTATAAGTGAATGATGATTTTTTTTTAAATAACACAACTAACTTTCCGATTTCCTCTTTTTATCTATATTTAATATTTTAGGTCTCTGACAATACAACAAATTTAACCCCTCCAAAATATATATATATATATATATATATATTTATTGAAGAAATTATCTCTTTTGACAAGATCAAAAAAATATATATATTATATATATACACAAAAAATGAGGATTAAAAAAAAATTATCTCCATTTAATAAATTATCTATTTTGACAAAATATAAAAATAAGTTAACTTTGTTGAATAAATTATTTGTGAAGATTGTACCAAAAAAAAAATAATAATAAATAAAAATGTCACTGTTGAATAAATTATCTCTTTCAATTG